ACTACAGCTACAGGGAATTCAGATGCAAAAAATTTCCCCTCTATAGCTAGGAAAATATATGCATTGATATGGCTGATGGCAGTAACTCAGTAGAGAGTGAAAAATTTGGGAGAAAGAGAATTGCTGGATCAAGTTCCTTAAGTGAGTAGAATAGTTGGGAGAGGGAGAAGAGATCTGGTGCACAATGGGAAGGTTGAAGTAGAAGAGGAGTTGTAGGCATGCTCAGCACAGCAGTGGAGCAAGAGAGACCACATGGACACAGATACTGGAGTGGGCAGGTGTGATGGGGTCATGGGGAAGTGCTTTTCTGAGTGCATCTGTTTTCTGTGAAATAGGAAGTGGTCATTAGCTGAGCATGAGAATAGGGAGAAGGTAGAGCCCTGGTGTTAGGAGAAGGGATAACATAGAAATAAGATGGTGGAGAGCAGGTGGAGTCAGAAATGTGGAAGCACTGCCAGGCAGCATTGAAGTCCCTTTGAAGTTAGTGGCCTTGAACTTAATGGTAAAATAAGTCAGTGGGGTTGCACGCTTCTCTCCACCTGTGCTCAGCCACCGGTAGAGATGCATTGTGGGTAGAGAAGGGGATTAAACAGGATTGAGATTTGGCCAGGTGACTGCCCTCAAGGGAGACTGAGGCAAGGAAATAATGGCATGTGGCAAGGAGTGAGGCTTCTGATACTCTGTGGATCTAATCTGAGGGAACAAATGATATGCTGGAAATGAGAGACTGTAAATGGGCAGGAGGAATTTTGGATGTTAAGTTCTGATTTGACAGAAGATGAACGAATTCCAGGTATTAGGGAAAATGCCCTGGAAAGACTGCAAGAAGTCAGAGAGTAGAGAAGTCTGAAGTGGGGGTACAAGTATTGGTTGATCAAGTCTAGGGCAGTGGTCTCAATCAGGAGTAATTTGCCCCTGAGGGAACATTTGCAAGGTACAGAGACATTTTTGGTTGTCATAACTGGGAGGGGAGACAGTAGAGACATCTAGTAGAAGCCAGGGAAGTCACTAGACATCCCACAATGCAAAGGAGAGCCCCACAACGAAGAATCCTTTGGGCCAATTGGTGCTGAGATTGAAGCACCCTGCTCTAGGGTGCCACCATGGGGGCAAGTGGCTGCTGTGGACTATTAGAGAAGAGAAAACCAAGAGACCAGGGTATGGGAAAGTTCATCTTATGCCCAATGGGAATCTTTAAGAATGATAACTTATGAGTAGAGTTGGAGAGACAGAGAGAGCCAGGAGTGAGAGGAAGTGACCCGTGGAGTCATTTTATTTTTCTGTGTCTACCTGATGGATTAGAGTTGAAATTCATATTCAAATTAGCCAAAGAAATAAGGGGATGCTTTTAAAAGGCCCCTTATTAACTGGCTTTGGCACAATTAGATTAACTCTGTCTTAAATAAAAGATGATCCAAAACCACTTAGGGGTCTAGTGTTTTTGGTGAAAATTCAGTGCCTATAAACTTGGACACTTGGCCTAGTTCCTTCTTTAAATGACGTCTTAGGGTAACATTTTTGGTAAACAGGCTTTGTGGTAGGGATCTTGTTTGAGAAAATCCTTGAGAAACCTTGTTTATTTACCTTAAAGACTGTGGCTTTCCTTGCTCACCACTTTGGAGAAGACGAGTCAAAATCACACAGACTCAGTAAGGGTTACACACCAGTGTTGCTTCCTGGAACAAGCTGGTCCAGTCATCCAGTCTTGTGCTTTGTCCATTTTGAACTCAAGGGCCCTGAGGCTACTTTTCTGCCTGCCCACAATAGCAAGGAACTTCTTTTGTTTGCTTCTTGATGAAGGAAGGGCTTGTTTGGAGGTTTGGACTGCAAATAATAATCCATTGTTCCCTATAATAATAACCCACCTTCTTTAGCAGAAAAAAAAATCTGCTGGATGCAGTGTGGCTATCAGTTTATTTAAAAGAATAGCCAAAAATGCTCATTGTATCCTGAGGATAAACATTTGGGAGATGGTGGGGAGACCTGGGGGAGTACTTTCGTCTTCCTTGGCCTAGAGTCATGGTTAAGACTTCAGGAAGAAAAAATTCTATGACCAGCAGTCTCGGTGACAACAACCTGCCTTATTCTGCTCATCTGAGAATAACTGGAACGTGACAGATATGTATCACTTCTTTAAAAAATGTATCTTATTTTAAAGATGGTATGTTGGCCCTCCCTGGTGGCATGGCAGGTTAAAGCACAGCAGTGCAAAGCTGGCTCTGGACACTTTGGTTCCAGTTCAATCCTTGTCTGGAGGTGAACCACATGGCACAGCAGACCTCTTCTGTTTTGCCTGCTGCTTCCCTCAGAATTGTACTTCATCAATCTGCCTGTTCTGCCCCCTACTCCGACTATGGTGAATCCTCTCATCACACCTGCACCTCTGGCCTGTACCCCAGTTCTGTATGCATAAATACATAAACCTTAAAAAAATGGTATGTCTATAAAAACATTAATCAAAAAGATATCTGCACCCCGATGTTTACTGCAGTTCTGTTTACAATAGGTAAGATATGCACACAACCTAAATGTCCAAAATCAGATGACTGGATCAAGAATATGTGGTACATAAATGCCATGGAATATTATTCAGCAATCAAAAAAAGATAAACTCATGCCATTTGCAACAACATGGTGGAGCTGCAAGGGATCATGCTCAGTGAAATAAACCACAAGGAAAAGAAAAATATCAGATGGTTTCATTTATAGGAGGAATATAGGGGAACCAAATAAGAGATCTGGAAAAAAATAATTATAATAAAATAAAAACCAACATTAATGGGCAACTCTAAATCAGAGGCATTCTGCAGGGGAGGGAAAAGCTCTAGTACTATGAGGATGGTGCACAGGTGACTTGGTGATGGAAATTCCATGGGGACTATGCCTGAGAGGAGAAAGCAGACATTTGCAAAAATGAAAAATGATGTACAATATATAAAAATGAATTAATTGTATTAATAACAACTAAATTCTTAAAAAAGTACAAAGATGGTGTGTCTAATCTTTTCTGGGCTAACTTTGTTTCCAATTTTAGGCTAAATAAGTTTCTTAACATTTGTTTAGTCCTTGGAAGTGTCCTTTGAGTGAAGATTATTTTATTTGAGCAGCAATCCCTGATAATCCTGTCAGGGTTTCAGGTCTTGGAGAAAAAAATTGTTATTGTTGTTGTTTTAGAGATTTGTTTATTTATGCACACAAGAACTGAGGTACAAGCCCAGAAATGCGGGGAGTGATAGGGCCCACCAGAGACAGAATGAGGAGCAGAACAGGCCGACCAATGAAGTACACTGCTATGGGGAGCAGCAGGGAGACAGAAGAGGTCTGCTGCGCCATGTGGGTCAGCTCCAGGGCCGGGGTGTCAAACTCGTGCTGCGGTGGCTTAAAATAGCTTCATAGTGCTGCACTTTAACCTGTTGCACCACCAGGGAAGACCCCCCTCCAAAAAAAAAAGTTGGTTTTGTATTACAAGTAGTGGAGCTTTTAATGACTACTTCCTGGACTTAGGTTCACTGAAAAAAAAAAATGGTTGGTGAAATGGTAGCATGATGTAATTCACAAAACCAAAATATATTAGTCATCTGTTATTTTTACTGAAATCCTTTATAGGAAAGGGGTCAACTGAGTAATATCCATGGCTTTAAATGAAATGGTTTCTTCGCGAGAATAGTTTTAATTGATTTCAGTGTGGAAGATGAGAACAGTTCAGTGTAACATCAGTTGAAGTATGACAGGTGAATATGAGAACTACTTCAATAAAAATATGGTCATAGCATCATTCAGAATAGACTATTAGGGAAGTGACTGTGATGTCTTCCAGGTGAATGGATAAGGTGTAGTGCATGCCAGCCATTAAAAATGAATTACCAGACCTTCCCTGGTGGCGCAGCAGGTTAAAGCGCAGCACTGAGAAGCTAAAGCAACTTCCGCATGAGTTCGATCCCCGCCTGCCCCAGAGGTGACCACATGGCGCGGCAGACCTCTCCTGACCCACCCACTGCTCCCCTCAGCAGTGTACTTTGTCGATCTGCCTGTTCTGCTCTCC